TAGACAACTCTGAAGCAAAATTTCCACTTGTTTTCAAGTCAGATAAGTCATGACCCAAATCACGTGTTCCTGAACCTACGTCACGACTCACTTCAAAACGAGGAAGACTGTTGCGAATGGTGGACCAAAATGGCGGCAAATTTGAACGTCTTTAAAAAATTATAAAAAAAATTGCATTTTATCCAAATCGAAAAATTTTTTCGCAGAAGTTCATTAGGTGAGATGTAGAATTAGATGAGCGAAGAAAAATTTTAGACATTATGGGCACTTTAAACATCCAATTTTTTCATTTTGCCATTTTCATCAAATTATTTATCTCCTCTGTTGCTATGGTGACTGCTTCATGAACCGGAAGTTGTATCGTGACGGAAAGGGGAAACGGTGTTGCGGAATCCATTCGGGAGAATTCTCCAACAGGCAGCTGATGTTTTCACTCTATTGTTAAATGCAATAAACAGCATCACAACACACATGCTCACTTCAAGCGCCCGCAAGGTGGTCTGTACAGCGTACCACGGCCAAGCACTTGGAACATCTGAGTGCAAACTGAAGTTAAAAACGGCAGAGTAGACCTGGGTTCCAATAAAGAACAAATTAAGCACCGCTGTTAAGAAAACGAAAAATCGAAGCCTTTGAAGCCCGGTATCTCCATATATGCTCGCTACTGAGTTGGAAGATAGTTGAAATCCTACTCGGAAGAAGCCAATTGTCAGAATCACGCCAAAGAAGACAAAATACAGGTGACATATTATCATCAAGACCAAGAGTTTCTGGATGAGTAGGAGAAGGATGTCTGTTCCCACGACAATGATTGCGTTGAGGACCATCACTCCTAGCACTGTGGATAATTTCTGGAATCGCGGAGGCGCCACATTCATCATGTTGGTAGCGTCTATAAACACCAGAAGCAGAAGACCGAGGGCCGTGAGGACACATGGGAATCCCAGCGACCACGTGATATACGCGCTGAGGGGCTCCAGCGTTCCTAGCGAGCTGTAAGGATCGACCAACAATATTATCGCCCGAGAAAAGTCAAAAAATAGTAATGAGAGATATAGCGCAAGTTTTAGCCCCTTAATACTGTGACCCGAGAGAACGTCATCGGCAAGTCCAACTCCAGACGTCACTGCAATGAATATATAAACCACAGCAAACAGGTAGATGTGTAGGTCCCAGGCTTTTCCCCATATATGAATCGCAGTTGACCACTCCGGCCTGGGCTCTGGGTTTGTGTCCGGTATTCGCGCAGGCTCGGCTGACATTCTAGTACTTATGCCCCGCCGAATTCTGGTAATATTATGACGCAAAGATTGTTGATTTTGCCGATTTATTGACAGAAATCCAGAATTTTCGCTGTGATCTGTCCTTATATTTAGGCGCGCCCCAGTATGTTTCGGCGACAGATGAATACGGTCCTGTGATTTGTTCTCCCTCTGCAGTATGGGGCGTGGTTCAGCCGTAGATGGACGCTTTTTTGAGATGATCAGTAGAAGTAATACAGTCTTTGCTTTCTCTTTCAACATAACATCGAATCTTGACTAAAGTCAAGATTCATTTATGAACGCCCATGAGGATTAGTTCACGTCCAGCTACCTGGCAAGTTCACTGTGGAACAAAATTGAATTTATTAACTAGATTGTTCATGTTGTCTTTTCAGGGCTGTAGCCAGAAAAGAATTATGACTGAGGTAATGTCTATGAAAACATGATAGCTGAGGCAATGTCCAAAACAGAAAAAAATTTCTGAGGCAAGTACCTCGGCTTGCCCGTTACTGGTTACAGCCTTGCTTTATTTACACTCGCATTAGCTAAAGCCGTAATCAACAGGACGACAGAGAACGAATGCTATCGCTAATTGGTGTTGTACCGGACTGCAGGACGACTGAAACGAACAGTAATGAGTTTTAATTGGAAAACGTTTACTAAATGAAAGAAAGAGATTTTCATTAAATATTTCCTGGAAGGTGCTTCTAAGTTACAACGTTACAGTTGCATTATAATTGTTAATAGAATTCGGATCAAAAAATGAGTAGCGGCCAGCCATCAGGACGATAGCGATGCTTGTAACTGAAAGACAGTGGACTGGAATGCGTTTCTCTGGGACATGAGACAAATCAGGATAACTCTTTAACTTCAGAGACCTGTATTTATAAACGAAAGTGGAAATGGTTGTCGACGAAGCCCTAACATTTTACCAGGATGGTGTATTAGGATCAAAAGAAAATTGTTAAGGAAGCGTAGCTTTGCCAAGGGGTTTATACACGCAAATACGTACAACACAATAGACAAAATGCACAGTGGCCGTCTACTCATCAAGGCAGTAGAGTATTTCAAGAGAATTCGCCGGAACGGTTTGGTTGTACAAAATTAAAAAAACTGGTACTTACCGGTCAATACCGAGACTACCAAAACCCAGACTTCCTTGAAAAAGATCTTTTTGGTGAATCTATTGGGAAGAGCAATAAAAATTTCAATTCAGCACAAACCTTTTTCCCTGCCCACGCTTCTTATAACAATAAGCTTGCATATATTCTGCTGTAACAGTTCTATGGGTGTAAGTTTACGCAAATACAGTTGCTTTTCCTGTAGACAGAGTCAAAGTACTCTTTTACCTCTGCTGATTTTATTGGCTGGCTGGTTTTTTTGTGATTAGGCTTAGAAGAATAAAACAAATTGAAACATAAATTGAGGGATGTACAAATCATTTCTTTGTTTCATGTTTCCGCTTAGAGCCAATTTTAACTTTAAAAAGTTTCAGATTTTTCATCTTTTTCTGGAACTCGGGTTCACAGAAACCATTCTAAGATTTTGATTCCAAGTAAAGCTGTGATAGAACAATTTAAAACAAAATTTACACAATTACTCGAAGTACTCATCATAGAGCAGTTTTCACTTGAGTGTCGAATAGTAATTGGTTTATCATTAGTACACTATACGATTGGCTTAAAAAAATCGGATCACTTTTTCATCCAATCAGAAGTATGTATTAAAAACCAAAACGAATGGTGTCTCCCTCGAAGACGTTTTGTTGAGATTTGAGTCGGCTACAGGTGTTTACTAAGAGTGTTGATTCGTTCAGCTGTTGTGATTTTCCATCCCCAAAGTTTGTGATTGTTGGCTACAGTGACTTCGTTTGTCTTGGTCTTACGATTGTCAATGGCCAATTACCTCTGTCAGACGCGCCTGCAGGGAATCATGGTAGTTGTATTCATCAAAATAAACATCCAGTCCAAGAGTGATGAATACAACTACCATGATTTCCTGTAGGCGCATCTCATAGAGTGAACTGGCCATTGAAAACCACTCAACATTAAAATCAGTCAATCTGAGGAATCACCTTAAAGTTACTTACATCACGGAATAATAATTTCATTGCAACAAAAGCTATTTTTTGTGCTATTTGTTTTCAATCTTGAATTCCTTGCACAAGATGCAGACAGGATTTCCGCGCATCACGTGACTTGAGAATTTGCCAATAAAAATTTCACTCCTTGACTTATTTTAAGTAAGGGTTGTTTTCCGCACATTGGCTGATCCGGCTTATTGCAACAAACCAGGAAAATTTGAAGCCGAGCACTGCACTTACTTCGACGTATATCTAAGCGACAAACAAACCCTCGAGAAATAATACAGTAGTAATGAAAGGTCTGATCATCCAAAAGAAATTCTACCCTAAGACTGAAACAAAAGCAACTGGCTGAGACTAAATTCATTTGGAGTTTATATTTACGGAGTAGGCACAGGCATCCGAAAAACGTGGGTGCAACTGCGATTACTACTGAACCGACTGTACCGGCCAGCTATTTAATTTTTTTTCAGATCAAAACTGTCAAAAGGCCATTGTCTTGTTGCTAAGGACGAGTACAGGGGCTTAAAAATCTTGTCAGAACGAAATTTCGATTCTTCCCGTTTCTGTCTGGTTTTGTTTCTTCGTTTTCAACGTTTCTACTTTGAACATACATGTCGAAATATAAATAGCATGCTACGGCTTTTAAGAAATATCCAAATTCGTACAAGAAATCGTTTTCTTTTCTGAGGCTGGAAATATAAGGCCTTTGTTGTGTTCGGTCTGCACATGACAAAAAAAAAATGTTTTAAAAAAAGTCAGTTTTAGGGCAAATGATATCCTAGTAATGAATGTTAAACGTAACCTAAAATAAAATAAAATAAAATAAAATAAAATAAAATAAAATAAAATAAAATAAAATAAAATAAAATAAAATAAAATAAAATAAAATAAAATAAAATAAAATCGAACTGAAATGAAATAATAATAATAAAAAAACTAGCATGGTAAAATGAAATTTAAACGAAGCTAATCACTTGTAAAATAAAGGAAACAAAATGTAAAATGAATTTATGTTCCAGTGAAACTAAACATCATGAAAATAAAATTATCACATTACTTGGTTTCATACTAGAAGCCAACAGCATAACATCTCAATCTTTCTTTGCTCAGAAAAAAAATAAATGTATTTTAAGTTGAATAAGGCGTCATTTTTTTTTTTTTTTATAGTTTCCACACGTCACTGTACTGTTCATTTTTGTCAATGTAGGTAAAAGTTTGCTCTCACCAAACTGGCACGGGGAATTTCGACTTAGCAGTATGAGCTTTTCACCCATAAAACAGTGCCTTCACTGCCTCACTGACGATGTGTTTCTTACGTACGTATTTACGACGTACGTTTTTCTGTTTATTGGTTTATACTCCCAAAATAGCAGCAAATATATCATCAATATTAGAGCGAACTTCAAACTTCAACGAGTTAGCCGTTCGGCAAATAACCAACCTACCTGATGGTTTTAATGGCTTCCAAACCAATATTTCCGCTACCTTGGTTCAAGGTTCTTGCTTCTTGGCTAAATTCGTTTCTAGACCACGTCCTTTTTAGCTTAATTTATGTATCGTATAATCAAAACACGAATATTTATAAGCGCTACTTTCAATACCAGATGTTTCCAATAAGTTCACGTTTAAAATCGAGCTTTTTGTCAATAACACAAACTGGTAGACATTTTGTTGATCATTTTATCACCGAAATAATCAGGTTCCAATCGGAAATAATCACAAAGCGCCCGCATTAAGCAAAATGAACGACAAAAGAAGTCGATCTTCTTACGTCAAGACTAGAAAAACAATGTTAATGTGAAAAGCTCACATCGAGCTTAAAAGACGTACTGTTTGAATGGTGTGTGTTTGCTAGATTTTACTTGAATGACAGAGTAGTCAATTGTAACAGGTGTGTTTTTTCATTCTCCCTCTCAAAACATCTAGCTTCATCTGCCAGTTTACTTTCGTGTTTTCTTTCTTGCAAACCTTTCAAATGTCGAAAGTTTACTTTGGAAATGTCTTCTTGTAACACGAATAAATGAATTTAATCGAATTAAAAGAAAAATTCGAAGTGCAAGCTTACGTGCGCTAGTGAGCCTCAACTTACAGATGAAAATGAAGAAGAATTACGTATTTCCTTTTATGTAACGACAACAGTTGACAAGTTTATTCTTGTGTTCGTACCGAGACCTCCAACAACAAAACCATTCGTTACTTAATTCGAAATTTATCCAGTCTCGAGGTCGACACTATACTTTGCATGTTAATATTTTTATCGAAGGCATTGAAAGGCGAAACTAATGCGGCAAAAAATGCAACGGTGTTCCGGTTTGTTTCAGAAAGAGATGAAGCGTTAACTAAGGCTTTAAAATTTACGTACTACAATCTAGTCTTTTGTTGCCTTGGATTTTGTTTCTTATCAGTTTAATTAGAATTGAGGAAGTAAATTTTACTTGCATGCACACATACGGTCGACTGAACAAAAACCCCCTTTGTTTACTTTACGCTGAGTTCTTTGTGTCTGCTGCACGATATTTTGTGTGCGTTAATAAAAGCGCAATTTGTCTTTATTACAATCGGAACCTTTCTTCCCCGGGCTTACTTCACGGAATTCAAACTTCTGGGGCCCGTTTCTCGAAAGCCTTGAAAACTTTTTGGGCTCGTAAAGCCATAGCAAAATCTCGAACCTTACGATTACAGAGCTGTTTTATTCACATATTCTTTATATGAAGAGAAGTTCCCTTCATACAAGAAGTTTCAGGCGTATACACTTCTCTTCTCCGTTTTTAGATACAGATGGACTAAAAATGGCTTAACGGGCCCGAAAAGTTTCCAGGGCTTTCGAGAAACGGACCCCTGGCCCAGAAAAACAAACAAACAAACAAACAAAGAAACGAACGAACAAGAGAAGATTGTGTTATTGGAGACCTATCTGACTTTGGATATATTTATATTTTTTTTATTATTTGAAACACGCACTTCAACATTTTCGCAGAGTGCTCGCCAAATGGCATTCATCAATCTTGAGTTGCAATTATATTACCAGCCCAAAATCCCATACTAGCGCGCACGATTGTTTGTAAATTTTGCGAAATGTCCAAATTAATCCTTAATTTGGATAGTGTCCAAATTAAAAAGTAATTTGGACAGTTCCGTGAGCAACATAACTACCTGTAGTATAGGAAATCGATCCGTTTGAGAAACAATTAGGGATTAATTAACGCAAGATTAGATCACACTTTTCAGGTCCCCTCCACACTACGCCAGAAGAATTTGTAAACGGAGGTTTCACTCTGAAAATGCTTCAAACTTAATGTTTTCCGTTCACACTACCACCGGAGGAATTAAAAACGTAACAATCGCCAGATATTTTGGATTTGTGTTTGAAAAAATGTCGGTCAGGGAAATCACATGATTGTCGTTAGGTCATCATTTTCAAAAAGCTCC